TTTCAGGGAGTTGTTACCATAAGAACATAAGAAGTAGGAACAGGAGTGGGCCATCCAGCCCCTTGAGCCTGCTCCACCATTCAACTGATCTTTTCGTGGACTCAGCTCCATTTACCCACCCGCTCACCATGACCCTTCATTCCTTTACGGTTCAAAAATCTATCTTTGCCTTAAAAACATTTAACAAAGTAGCCTCAACTGCTTCACGGGGCACGGAATCCCACAGATTCACAACCCTCCTCCTCGACTCAGTCCTGAATCTGCCTACTTACAGCCTGTAATCCGCTGCCTGAAAACAAGGTGGAATAATAGCTTCCGAAAGGGAATTTGATAAATGCCCCTAGGCTCCTCCCGTGAATCGGGAGCTTCCGCGATCCTTCAAACCCTAGTGTGTGGGACTTTGTTAAAAAGCTGCTTCCGACAACACTGGGCGCAATAAGAGGAGCTCGGTAAAACGTTTCTGCACTTGGCGAAGATAGCAATAACTGACATTTACGTAGCACCTTCAAACTAAACAAAAGCATCCCAAGGCATCATATTAATGCACAGGGGCAGCATGAGGCAAATGTAAGGAGCGGGACAAAATTTGGATTGCAGTTTAAAAACAGCTAGCACAGACCTGACAGGCTGGATATTCTCCTTATATGGTGCGCTGTATTGGGCTGGGCAGGGTTGTAGAGGCAAGAGTCAGCCAGTAGCTTGGTCAAAGAGATGGCACTTGCTCTTGTGATGTGATGAGAAGGAGACAGGAGCTTCAGTATTCAAAAAGATTGAAAGGTCTGGCAGGCTAACGTCAGCCACTGGGGATATTTGACTGGAGACGCAGAATGTTCCTCAAGACTGGAGGGTATGAGTATAAGGAGAGGCTGAATCGGCTGCGACATTTCTCCCTGGATCGTAGGAGGCTGAGGGGTGACCCTGTAGAGGTTTATAAAATCATGAGGGGCACGGATAGGGTGAATAGCCAAGGTCTTTTACCCAGGTTTGGGAGGCCCAAAACTAAAGGGCATAGGGTTAATGTGACAGGAGAAAGATTTAAAAGGGACCTGAGGGGTAACGTTTTCACACAGAGGGTGGTGTGTGTATGGAATGACCTGCCAGAAGAAGTGGCAGATGCAGGTACAATTACAACATTTAAAAGACATTTGGACAGGTACATGGATAGGAAAGGGTTAGAGGGATATGGGCCACACATGGACAAACGGGACTACTTCAGTTTAGGAAACCTGGTTGGCATGAACGAGTTGGGCCGAAGGGCCTGTTTCTAGTCTGTATGACACTAAATGGACAGTTATGTTAGAGCGTTGGCAGGTGTCCAGTCATTTGGAAAGGTGGCCTGGTAAAGGAAGCCAGGGAGGAGAAACCCTTACACACAGAGAGAGTGGTTAGGGTCTGGAACGCACTGCCTAGAAAAGGTTCCATCGAGGCATTCAAAAGGACACTGGATGATGCTGAGGGCACGGGGTTACAGAGACTGACACTGGGTTAACGATGCTCGTTTGATGACCTGGTGCAGGAACAATGGGCTGAATAGCTTCGTTCTGCACCGTAACAGATCTGTGACTTTTATTTATACTTCAGTTCTGTTTAAACCTTGCAATATGTTTGCATCGGGTGAGAAACAGATAAATGGCAGGTGTCCCGACGTCATGGTTATTCTTGGCCGCACACACACAGAACTAAATTGCCCAGAAGGTGTCAGGGTAGCATCACAATTTCACATCAATTCCGCTCCCAGCTGGCAGATGGTGCTTTTTTCTGCGGGTAACATATAGCGCGGCAGTTTCCTTCCCTTTATCCTCTGCTCTCTCTCCCTCCTCACCTTCCGCCTCCCCCGCAAAAATGGAACTCTGCGCCGTGCACAAAATGCCAGATCCGTGCTCCTCCGGCTGCCAGCTGTCGAGCTTCCCGAATGCCAAAGGAATGACTGAACTGCAAACTCACATTCACTCCACAGCTCTTTCTCACCACCCCTGCTGCCCTTCATAACCCTTCCATCGTTCAGTTCCCAGCTCTCACTTCCTAATACTATGCACCCTCTTTGACCTTAGCCTCTTAAAGCAGTTGAGGCCAAAAGCCTTAGATTAAAGGAAGATGCACTCAGGCTGATCAGTGGCAAATGGAATTCAGTCCAGATAAATGTGAGATGATGCGCTTGGGCAGGGCAAACAAGGCAAGGGAATACATGATGATGAGTAGGATCCTGAGAAGCAGCAAGGATCAGAGGGACCTTGGAGTACCTGACTACGGTCCTATGCAGTATCAGGACATGATTTGGAGGTGGTGTTGGACTGGGGTGGGCAAGGTCGGAAGTCACACGACACCAGGTTATAGTCCAACACGTTTATTTGAAATCACAAGTTTTCGCAGCGCTGCCCCTTCGTTAGGCATCAGGACAGGTAGATAAAGTGGTTACAAAGGCATATGGGATACTTGCCTTTATTAGCCCAGGGATAGAATTTAAAAGCAGGGGGGTGATGCTGGAATTGTATAGAAGTGTTGATTAAACAACACAGTTTTTGTTTCAATTTGAGGAACTCTACCACCGACGCACATCTTTCGAATGGACTCACTGCTGTTTTGTAGACATCACAGAAACAATACTGCTCAGCAAGCAGAACAAAATCAACAGATTTACTTCGTATTGTGAAGCGAACTGACAACTGATTGACATCTAAGGTATGAGGAATTCCTCTCCCGTTCCTTTCTTTTCTGTTGATCATTCTTGGGCTACCTTTGGCACGGTGGCTCAGTGGTTAGCATTGCTGCCTCACAGCACCAGGGACCTGGGTTCGCATTCCACCCTCAGGTGACTGTCTGTGTGGAGTTTGCACATTCTCCCTGTGTCTGTGTGGGTTTCCTCCCATGGGTGGAGTACAATGATGTGCAGGTTAGGTGGATTGGCCAGGAGAAATACAGGGTTGGGGGGGGGGGGGGGGGGAGGGGGAGGGGGGGCTGTTGGGAGGGTCACTGCAGACTTGATAAGCTGAATAGCCTCTATCTACACTGGAGGGATTCTATGATTCTATACCTATATCCCTGGCAAGGCCACTGTTTATTACTCTTAAGGAGGTGAGGGTGACCCTTCTGAGTGACACACACAGTTGCCCTCCTGGTCTGCAGGGAGGTTCAAGAGCTAATTGGGGTCTCACCTGCAGGGATCATAGGGCCTTTCATTGAAAAAAAACTATCAGGCACACTTTAACATTTGCCCAAATTATTAAAAGAGGAGGAACAGAGAGAGGGAAAGGAAACTAAAACACAAAACAAGAATGAATGAGAGAACAGCCCAGAGATATTGCTTTACCTTACAGGATGACTGACTGAGACCAATGCGGCTTTCAAAAAATCTTTGAGTGTCTTTCTATAATATTTTCCTTTAAAATCTCATAGTCCCTCTTTCACAGGGATACAACTTGTCCGTGCGGAGTAGGGTTGTGAATTGGACAGATTACTGAAGGTGTCACATGACTTCTCATTGCACCCTCACTCTCTCGCTATTGGTTGTCCATCAGACCAGTTTTTGGGGCACATGGCCTTCCCTCTGTCAATTGGAAAGCAAATGTACCCCTAACTTTTTGATAGACTGACAGTAGAAAAGAATTAGTGAACGGCCACTTTATTCTCCACAAAATACGTCTGCAACATTCTCAGGGACAATGCTCCCCCAGATGAATATAGAAAATACCTATTTTTGAAGAAGGGAAGAGGAATTCGTTTTCAGTAAACCTGCTCATTATTTGTCCCTCAGTGCGGATCATGAAGAGGACCTGGTCATGATCACATTGTTGATCGTGGGAGCTTGCTGTGCTCAAATTGTTCATCATGTTTCCTCCATTACAACTGTCTGAGGGAGGAAGTGACATTATGTTTCATGGTCATTGCCATCAGTTTATCCCCTTTCTCCTCTCCTCAAGTGTATTGGATATTTCAGTATAAACCACAAGCTGCTGTAAATTAGCTCCTGTTTGACTTACCCGCCTTTTTCCAGATCTCATCTGGCACGTAACCCGCTGATGGTCTGTGACTGATCTCTCGGTGAAGCTCTGCAGTATAGACACAATTAGGCAGATCCATTATCCCCTATCCCCGCAACAGAGCTCAGCCGTCACAAAAAGCAGGCTAAAACAGGAAAGGGAAAGGAACCAGCTGCTGAGTCACACCCTTCCCAGTGGTCCATTATCCCACTCCTCAGCCTCCCTCAGACAAAATACCATTGCTTGGATTCAAACAGAGAAAAGGTTGGTGGAAAACTAATAAGACGCCAGTGCATTCCTGTGGAATAGTTTTCCCCGTGGGTGCAGGGTTATTTAGGGTTACGCCATTAAGGTGTGTAGATGGAGATAAGACACAACGAGATTCATTATTGGTAAGACAGAGTCCAGGTATACACTTTACTAGTCAGAGTTTTATTTCAACTCACACATCACCAATTCCCAACCCACTGATGACTTATTCCCCATGTATATCACACACACAAATACACTCAGCCACATTCTCACCCCATCATTCCTTATTTTACTTATAACCTATTTCCCGATCCCTCACGACCTTAGGTTTTCTGCCGGACTTGACTAGATAATAAGACGGATCATCCTTTATCTAACTGAGTGATGGACCAGGATTAAAGGGTCACACCATGCTCCTATCACTTCAGGAACTTTGCCGCATTCCTTTCAGAACTCCAGAAGGAGACCATCCCATAGAAGCAGGAAGTTCATGCGCCTGCCTTTTCTGAGATTTGCAGTCTTCCTGCCTTGAGAAGGCTGCCACCCTGACAGCACTGCCAGAGAAACAGGCTCCTTCCACTGGGAGATCCCAGCGGCCATGTTGGCTGAGGCCTGCTCTAGGTGTGAAGCTTGATACGTTAATGTGGAGCACCAGCTGGATTACAAGTGGGTACCACTGGTAGGGGGTGATCCACAGCAAGGGAGCAGACCCAGTCCGAAGACTGCAAAACCTCATATGAAGGAAGGGAAATGGACTGACCCTCTTTCAGAGGGATACAACTTCTCTATGTGGGGCAGGGTTGTGAACACGGATTGGACAGATTGCTGAAGGTATCACATGACTTCTCATTGCACCCTCACACTCTTGCTATTGGTTATCCATTAGATCAGTTTTTGGGGCACATGGCCTTCCCTCAGGCAAGTAGAAAGCAAATGTACCCCTCATTATTTGATAGACTGACAGTAGAAAAGAATTAGTGAACAGCCACTTTATTCTCCACAAAATACTTCTGCAACATTCTCAGGGACAATGCTCCCCCAGATGAATATAGAAAATACCTATTTTTGAAGAAGGGAAGAGGAATTCGTTTTCAGTAAACCTGCTCATTATTTGTCCCTCAGTGTGGATCATGAAAAGGACTTCATTTCTGAAGAAGGGTCCCGACCCGAAATGTCAACTTTCCTACTCCTCTGATGCTGCCTGGCCTGCTGTGTTCCTCCAGCTCCAACTATCTTCAGCTGCTTCATCAATGACCATCCCTCCAAAATAAGATCAGAAGTCGGGATGTTCTTCGACGGTTGCACCATGTTCATCACCATTTGTGATTCCTCAGATACTGAGGCAGTCCATGCCCAAATGCAGCAAGATCTGGACAATATCCAGGTTTGGGTTGACAAATAGTAAGTGATATTTGCAGCACACAAATGCCAGGCAATGACCATCTCCAACAAGAGAGAATCCAACCATCAGCCCTTGACAATCAATGGTGTCACCATCACTGAATCTCCCACGATCAACATCTGTACCATTGATCAAAAACTCAACTGCACTAGCCATATAAACACAGTGGCTACAACAGCTGGTCAGAGAATAGGAATGCTGCGATGAGTAACTCACATCCTGATTCCCCGAAGCCTGTCTACCATCTACAAGGCATAAGTCAGGAGTGTGATGGGATGCTCCCCAGTTGCCTGGATGGGTGCAGCTCCAACAACATCCAAGAAGCTTGACACCATCCAGAACAACGCAGACCTCTTGATTGGTACCGCATTCACAAACATCCACTCCTCCATCACCAACGCCCAGTAGCAGCAGTGTGTGCCAGCCAAAAGGTGTACCTTCCGAACCCACGACCAGTTCCTTCTAGAGGAACAAGGGCAGCAGCTACGTGGGGACATGCAGATTCCCCTCCAAGCCACACACCATCCTGATTTGGAAATTTTATTGCCATTGCCTCACTGTCACTGAACCAAAATCCTGCAGTTCCCTCCCTAAGGGCATCATGGGCTGCAGTGGTTCATGAAGACAGGTCAGCCCAGAACCTTCTCAAGGGCAACTAGGGGCTGGCAATAAAGGCTTGCCAGCCAGCAACCCCCACATCCTATTAGCGAATAAAATAAAGGATAACTGGCGACCATAAAATGACTGTTGCAAAAACCTATCTAGTTCATTAATGTCCTATAGGGAAAGAAATCTGCCATCTTTACCTAGTCTGGCCTACATTTTAGGATAGGCAACGACTGCTCATCCCTCCAGAGACCTGTCAATCCTATGAAGAATAAACAATAAAACTTCAAGAATAACAGAACCGTTTGTGGACATCCAAAGGTTGTGAAGGGTGCAATGCAAGCTGGTCCCTTCCTCTTTCGTTCAGGCAGATGTCCACTGAAAGCAGTCTCAAGTTGACATGAGGAGCAAAGTGTGGGAAGAGGCCTGAGGTGTACCGAGCCCCGAATTACCTCCAGCAATTCGCTGGGTGAAAACAGTGAGTGACTGAGCCACAGCATGGGAATTCCAACCTAGCCCCGAGTTAGGTGATTTTGTTTTATTCATTCACAGGATGTGGGCATCACTGGCAGCATTTATTGCCCATCCCTAATTGCCCATTGGGCAGTTAAGAGTCAACCACGTTGCTGTGGGTCTGGAGTCACATGTAGGCCAGACCAGGTAAGGATGGGCAGTTTCCTTCCCTGAAGGATATTAGTGAACCAGATGGGTTTTTCCTGACAGTCAACAATGGAATCACGGTCATCGTTAGATTCTTAATTCCAGATATTTATTGAATCCAAATTTCACCATCTGCTGTGGCGGGATTCGAACCTGGGTTTGAATTCAGTTGGGATGGTCACATCAGTTCCACAGTCAGTCCATAATGGGCACAGCAAGCACAGGAACAAATGAGATAGTAAAAGAGCAAGGGCAGCATTACCCTGTGCCCTGACTATACTTCACCTTCACTGGGAAAGGAATGATAACTGAAAACGCTGGAGGCTCAAAGCGAAAGGGCGTTTGATTTTCTAGCATTAGGTTCCCTCGGCTGGATGAGCAAGATAAAATTTACAAAGAAATTTAAAAGAGGGTTCAAACAGTATGGGCTTGACAGCCGTCATTCCAAGTCCCGTGGTTTATAGAGTTAGAGAAACAGATCAACACACCGTCAACCCATGGTCCACTGGGCAGACGACTTGGACTGTTTGTGATAGTGTAAAACGGTCCATTGTGATTCATCAGTCTCCTTTCTAATTAATCATGCATTTTCTATCCTTAGGGGAAAAGAAACAATGAAACGAGGATGCTGAATATCAGAAACAAAAACAGAAATTGCTGGAAAAACACTGCACGCCTGGCAGTGTCTGTGGAGAGAAAGCAGAGTTAACATTTTGGGTCCAGTGACTGTTCTTCAGGACTAGAGAAGAAGGGTCACTGGAGCTGAAACGTTAACTCTGCTTTCTCTCTCCACAGACGTTGCCGGACCTGCTGAGTTTTCCCAGCAATTTCTGTTTTCATTTTCTATCCTTACAGTTTAATTTCCACGCGTGATTATCATTCATTTCATGCAATCGCGTACAATCAGAATTATCCTCTCTCATTTCAAGTATCTCCCTCTTTGGGACTATTTTTGTCAAATGCAGTTCTGGCTTAAAACAGTTGCTGAGAGCGAAGGCAGACAATGCTCTGGGTTACTCACCAGTTTGAATGGGGTCCGTGTTCCCAGGGCTGAGCTGTCGGAGGTGAGCACTGCCACCCTTCCGCACCTCCTCCGTGTCGTTGTAACGCCTCATCCAGTAGTTCAGCTCCTCCCGGTCAGCTTCTTGGCAACGGCAAAGAACAGCCAATGAGCGACGAGTCTTCTCCACCATGTCCATGATGCAATTCAGGAGCTGCAAGACAAGCCAAGGTTTATGTTTTGTCTGCGATCCAGCTCCATCGGTTTTGCTCTCTTCTGGAACAAGGAGGTCACGGTGGCTTTCCACAAACTCCAGCTCACTTTGGTCTCCATGCAAACATCTCGTGGAGCTGCTCCCGAGCTGAGCCAGGGTGGCTATCAGCAGGTCCAGGTGGGCGTGCTGGGCAGGGGCCCATTGAACCCAACAGTCTGTACCTTTTCTGTGGCTACGTCTGCCCTCTGGAGGCCCGGTTGAGGGACAATGCAATGTCCACCAGTATACCAGGTCTTCCACAGCCAGTGGGCACTGCAGGGCCTAGAGTGTATCAGCAAGCCCAAAAATTCTATTTCAGAACTTTGTAAATTTCTTCTCAAGACTTTTGTTATAGTGGCCATTAAAGGAGCCAATACTATTCAATGTGGTTCAATTCACTTGTTTATTCTTTCAAAAAGAATCCTTAAACTTAGAAGGGCAAGTTGATAAAGTGGTTAAAAAAAGCATAGAACACAGCAATGATTGTAGACGGAATCCAATCGTTCACACTTCTGGAAAAAGTGTATTGGCTTTTGAAAGCTTACAGCATCACTTCACTTTCTAGAAACCCAGGCTCATATTTTAGGAGCACAGGTAAAAATTTCACTGCAGTAACTGGTGGAGCTTAAATTCAATTAACAAAACTTAACTAATATTGCCAGGCTGATGAATAGTGATTAATTGTAGTACAAACTGTTAGCTTGCTAACAGGGCAGCACGGTGGATCAGTGGTTAGCACTGCTGCCTCACAGTGCCAGGGACCCAGGTTCAATTCCAGCCTTAGCCTGTCACTGTCCGTGTGGCATTTGCGTGTTGCTTATGTGGATTTCCTTTGGGTGCTCCAGTTTCCTCCCACAATCCAAAGATGTGCAGGCTAGGTGGATTGGGCTGGGGTCTAGGTAAGATGCTCCTCAGAGGGCCAGTGTGGACTTGATGGGTTGAAAGGCCTACTTCCACACTGTAGTGATTCTAATATGCCTTTAGGGAAACACATCTGCCACCTTTACTTGGTGTGACCTACGTGGCCACATCAATGTGGTTGATTCTTAACTGCCTTTGGAAATGGCAAAGCAAGCCACTCAGCTCAGAGTGGCCCTTGCCAGTGGCGTTCACATGAAGATTGAGGTGAGAGACTTCAATTATGAGCAGACATTAGAAAAATTAGGACTAGTTTGTCTGGAACAGAGAGCTTGAGTGGTGGCAGGAAACATGCTTGCAAGATGATGGGAGGTTTTGGTTGACAGAGACAAATTATTCCCTCTGGACAATGGGTCAATAACCAGAGATCATCAGATTAAAATCATTAATAAGAGATCTTCAGTGGAAATTAAATTCTTTCTCACCCATTGAGCCAGTGGAATGTACAAAACTTTCCCTGAAAGAGAGAGTGCTAGAACCTGATTCCAAAACTAATTTGAGAATGGAGCTGGCTGGGTATGTGAAACTTAGGGCTTTCAGGATCAAAGGGTATGGGATGAAATTGGAAAGAGGTACCAGGTTGGACGATCAGCTGTGGTCATATGGAATTTTGGGGCAGGCTTGAAGGGCAGAATGGTCTGCTCCTGTTGTCTATGTTTCTATGTGAGGCTGAGGATCTCATGGAATTACGCACAAGAGGAAAGGATGTAGGACAAAAGACAACTGTTTTCTGAAAGGGCCAGCAGAGGCATGACTGCCCAAGTGGCCTCCATCTGTGCTGTAAGTTTTAATGGACAGGTTTTATCGGAATGGTCCTCCCGGCCCATCACCTGAAAAGTTAGGTGGGAACGTGCCATAGCAGAGTCACTGGGCTAATAAGCCAGAGGTGCAGCCTGGAGACACTGGTGCAAATCCCACCAATAAATGCTATTAATTAAAAATAGAATTAGAACTGAAAGCTAATCTCATTAATGGCGATGATGAAGCGGTCATCAATTACTGTGAAAACACACCTGATTCACCAGAGACCATTGGGGGAAGGAAATCTGCCATCTTTATCTGATCTGGCCTATACGTGACTCCAGACCCAGATCATTGAGGTTTCCACTTAACTGCATCTTGAGGATGGTTACAGATGGGAAACACAAACTGACTGTCGTGATTGGAACCAGGTGGATCTTGTTGACTACGAGATCCTTGATTAAGGTTGTTAACCTGGGCCAATCAGGGAGCCCTGGCTGACCAACATAAACAGGGGATTTCGAATCTCCTCAGCTCAGGGGACTGACTCCGAGCTGCAGATGGTAAGGACGGTAGACGCTGGAAGCTAGAGTCAAGTAATGTGGAGCTGGAAAAGCACAGCAGGTCTGACAGGATCTGAGGAGGAGGAAAGTCAACTTTTTGGGCCAAAACCCTTTGTCAGGACTGGGGAAAATAAAACGTTTGTTGAGGGTGTGGATCCTCGTGAGGACAAAGAACAGTAGAGGTCCCCTGCAGGTCTGGGAAAGCTCTGGAGCTGGGGCAGGGATGACTGCAGGGATAGAAGGTGTCGATGCATGGCTGTGAGCGTGGGGCTGAGAATCGGCAGAGGGAACCGTTTCTGGAGGCCCTGGAGGCGCTGTAGATAACAGTTGTCATGGTTGGGTCCAAATTGTGAGGGTCTGAATATTACGTGGAGTCCACGGGCGTAAGCCGGCTGCGTAGACACTGAGGAAGGAGACGTGGCTGTAGTAGCGAGATTGCTTCAGAACGTGGTCCAAAAGCTTCAGGACAGAGGAGATAACCAGGGGGTTTGCAGTGGTAGGGAGATTCACTGAGCTCTCTTCGGGGGGAGGAGGAAAATTCTTTCGAGGTGGGCATCCTTAGAAGAGACTTGGCAGTGTTGGTTTTCAGCAACTTGGAGACAGTAAGGACTGCAGATGCTGGAAGCCACAGTCTACAGGTGTTAGGCTGGAAAAACACAGCAGATCAGACAGTATCTGAGCAGCAGGAACGTCAACATTTTGGGGCTGAAACCCTTTGTCAGGGCTGGCAGGAGTTTTGGCCCCAAAATGTTGACTTTCCTGCTCCTTGGATGCTGTCTGACCTGTTGTGCTTTCCCAGCTTCACATTTATTGTGTCTGAGCTGGGATGGCCACAGCTGGTGTACTGCGCACAAGTAAATAAAGGGTGACTTGGTGACAGGATATCGGTCTCTGTGCAGTTATTTCACTGACTTTGCCACCAATGTCTACATCCCCATGAGCAAGTGAAAATAATTTGGGCAGAAGACCACAAATTCTGGACCTTAGAGGCTAGGCCCAGGTAAGGTTCTCACAGCAGGGAGGTGAGGTGACGCTTGGGAATGTAGGGAGAGTGGGGTGGGGATGTAGGGAGAGATCAGGAGATGAAAGAATAAGTGGAGTGACTCTCAGGGCTTTCCACCTGCCCTTGAACTTTCCCTGACCATCTCAAAATAAAGGCCTGATGGGAATGAGGGTAAAAGGTGGATGAATTGCCCTCGGCCTCACCAATGGAAAATAGCAGATAGATTGGAGGCAGGTAGGTAGGCCACCTGGAGAATTTTACACCCCTCCCCCAGCCTCTGCAAACTGTCCAATGGAATCTGTAAATTTCCTATAAGAAGGGCAAAGAGTAGGAGAAATCAGCACCTACATGATCCAAATGTTTCCATTCCTCAGCCCACTCACGGTCAGTCAGTCGGTGATCAATCATCTCTTCCTGATACACTGCACGGGATCCTCCTGGGGAGGACAAAGGAAGGTTAACCGTCTGGAAGTTGCTGAAATGTCTTCAGTCTCATGTATGAAGAGTGAGCTTCAAAGATCTTTGAGTACAAAGCTGTACCCAATGTTTCAAATGTTAAACACGAGAAACCTGAGAGGTTAATAGTGTCCACCAGAAAGTTAACACTGCGCTTGCTGTTACATCTTACTGGGGCAGTGCACTAGAATTCAATCCCACTATTCCCAGAGTCACCTTAAAAGTTAAAGATTTTAACAAGTATGCAGAATTCCCCAATTTGCCTGTCTCTAGACCCAGGTTGACAAAAATTATGGACCAAGTTTCTGTACTTAACAAAAATGACATTATTACAAGGTGGCTACAGGTAACTGTTGGCATGTAACTCCACAAAATTAAAACTCTAATACCCTTAAACTCCCCCTTTCACACACAGCACAAACTGACAGATGTAGACAGGGAAAGGAGGTGGTTATGGATGGAGGGTGGTGCAGGAAGGGAGTTTAGTGGTTTCTATTCCCAGGGTTGCTGAATGAGCCTCGTGCTGGTCAGAATGTTGCTTCTCAGTCATCCTTCTCTGGATGCTTCCCCTGGTTTGTCAGAGGCACAGGGTGACTGGTTCACTCGTACAAGATGTCTCCAGCTTGTAATTCAAATTCACAGCTTACAGCAATTTCTGGAGGGAAGAGAAACTGATTCTCGAAAGGCAGAGATTTATTTTTTTCTGCAGAATACAGAGGAAGAGAGCCCCTGGGCTAATAGTGGTCTGACCACTTCTCTGACTTGTTCACAAATCCAAGCTATTCAACTGTTTAACAGCCAATGACATAATTGTTTGTAGGCAAAGGACCATTGAAATTGATAGCTGGTCACTAGTCTACAAACTAATCAGCTTCTTGTTGCCAAGTAAAGCTCCAGTTCGTTTGCAAACTAAACTTCAAATACAGCTTGAACAAATAGTTGTACAAACAATGCTTACCATGAGCATCAGATTTACTTCTCCAAAACATGCAGCAATCCTTGGAATTCTTGGTTTTAAAACAACTCTTTGTCATTTAAGTGCGAAAATAAATCACAAAAATAAGAAGACATGTCTGTACACCGCATGCGATCTGAATTCATTGGGCACGCAATGTACTTCACCGTAACTAGATGAATGTTTGCATCCTACTCCATTGAGAGCTCTCTAGACCACACTGAAGGTTACCCAGTAAAATCTACAATCGTTCAAGGTTGCATTCTGAATCCTGGCTGAGGTGATTGTTAACTGGATCCCAAACCAGAGGATGCAGAATCCATATGGGACCCAATCCTCTTCCTTGATAACAGGTTTATTTACCAAACTATAATTGGCAAAACTAGCTAGAGTTGTCCTCCATGAAGAACCCAACTCTTCACAGAAACTTGCACCACCGTGCATTCCTGCCGCGATAGCCACGACTACCCTGTGCCCTTGGGCTCACCGTGATGCCTATGTCGCTCTCTGTATTCCGGAAGTCTCTGTGGGTCTCTGTACAGGTGGTTAATGGCCACATCGTCCAGGCTGTAGTGCTGGAGTGGGGGAGGGGTTGGGTGCAGTTGCCCGTTGGGGGGGTGAGGTATGCCAATGTTTGGGCTGTGCCGCTGGGCAGGGCTGATTGTGCACACCCGCTTCGCTGGAGGGTCTCGGTCAAAGCCGTTCTCTTTATTCCTGAGGAGATGGGGAGAAAACATCATCATGGAGTGAAAGCTTTCAGGAGAAGAGTCCCTTATTCACATACTTATCAAACCATTTGGTCATAGAATCATACAGTACACAAGAGGCCCTTTGGCCCATCAAGTCTGTACTGCCAAAAATATACTACCAGTTAGACTAGTCCCACTTTCCCATACTAGGCCCTTTGCCTTCAGTATTATGACATTCCGAGTGCTCATCCAAGTACTTTTTATAGGTTGTGAGGTTTCCCACCTCAACTATCCTTCCAGGCAGAACATTCCAGATTCCCACCATCCTCTGGGTGGGAAATATTTTCCTTAAATCCCCTCTAAACCTGCCGCTGTACACCTTAAAACTGTGCCCCCTTGTTAGTGACCTTTCCAAGTCGGTGTTTTTGGCAGACAAGGCCAGGGCCTCTGAAGGACTGTACCTCTGACAGTGCAGCAAACCCTCGGCACCACACTGCAGCGTTTCAATTTCTCTTCTCAGTTCTCTCCGAGTAGATACCTGGACCCGACGGTGAGGGTGCTATTGCTGAGCCATAGTTGACACATAAACATGGCTTTACAGCCTTTGCTGGGTGTCAGCTGTGGCTCAGTGGGCAGGACCAATGCTGCTATATCAGAAGGTTGTGGGTTCAAGCCCCACTCCTCCAGAGAGCTCATCATATTCTAAACTGAAACTCTACCCAGTGTATCAATCTGTTGACTGCCTGGTGGTTGGAGAATCATTACAAGCCCCCTTTCCTTCAGTGAGAGTGGGGAAATATACATGAATTTTAGTGAACATTTACCTTTTATTTGGCCTCCAACTTGATCAAGGATCCCAGAAGGTAGAAATCCCACCTGTGGGAGCTGTCAGCCAATCAGAGGCTAGGCCCAAGGCTCATGTTGCACAAAAGGAAATGGGGCATGACAGGCTCCATGGGGAGAGATTGCAGGGGGTTTTGGAGGGGGCAAAAAGAGGGCAGTTTGCAGCGACCTTTTCCAACAACAGCCTGCCTTCCCAATGCTGTGCCCCTGATCAGGTATTGAGAGTCTGTCAATGAGGCAATCCCCACCACCTAGGCCTCAGGAGAATCCCACAGGGCCTGCTCTCGGGCAAACGTTGGGAGCCATGGGGAACCTCTGGAGCCACCATAAATCCTGAAGCCACCATAATTAGCACCAAGTGGCACATTAATAATCCTGACTGGCATCTTTGTTACCCGCAAGTGGGAATCCTGTGTTGACCTCTTCCCATTCCCAATTTAGTTGGGGACAGTTTTCCCGACATTGGGAACCAGATAATTCTCCTGGAACCCAGCCGGGCCGTCATGCCCTTGTGGGTGGGGAGCCACTAAATTATATCCGCCCAGTGCAATGCTGTGGGAGTGCTGTACTGTTGGAGATGTTGTTTTTTTCAGATGAGAAATTAGACAGAGGGTCCTTTTCTCTCTCAGGTGGGTGTGAAAGTATTGTCTATGAGAAGGACGGGATGGCTCCTTGATGTCCTGGTCAACATGAGCCACAGATTCAATTTACAGAAATCTGCAAATGGCATTCAAACAGAGACAACAAGACCTACCGCCACAGTGCCTGACATGGCTACAAGACTGAAGTTGTTCTGTAAATGTGATGCGATAGTCTGTCCTCGAGCCCAGATTGTACAGCAGAATGCTCTAATGACTTTTGTTTTGATAAAGATAGTCTGTCCGAATTTGGCAGGCTTGTATTTCTTCTGGCATCTCTGTGCACACGCGAGTCATCGCATTGGAATGTCAATCCCTCCTTCATCAGATGCCCCCCCCCTCCCCGCAACACCACTACCATACTCGATCCCTCCTTGGCCCATTGCTAAAAATGTCTGGATCTGATCCAATCACACTTAATTTTCTCACCACTCAAAGCCAAGTGGCAGGAAGTATACTAACAGATCATATAAGGTCTTAACTGTACTGACTTCACACAACAGATCTTTACAGGACTTGGCAAGTCTGAAAGCTAATGAAGCAACATTTATTATTTTATGCTTTTAAAAATACGTTCTGGGGTCTTTCAAATTAAGTGCTTTCCCGCTATTTATTTATGAGTTAAAAAAATGTCTTCAGGACAACAGAAACGTAAATCTTTCTTTTATAATAAAATGAAACAAGAAATAGAAGAGATAGATATCTTGGTGCTATTGCAGAACTCATTTTACTATCAGAGAATGTAATCATACAATGGTTACAGCACAGAAAGAGGCCATTCAGCCCATTAAACTCATTCCAGCTCCCAGCAAAAATTATCCTGTGAGTCCCGCCTACATTTTCATTCCCCGTCTCATTGTAATTCGTCTGCCTTCCGGTTCATATCCAATTGCCGACTGAAAGTCACGATTGAATCTGCCTCTGCCATTCTCCCTGCCAGTGAGTTGCACATCCTGATTACTCACTGCATTTCCTCATGTGGCCTTTTAACTCGTTCATCAGTCGCTTCGGTACATTTTTACAATCCAACCCTTCCGCCAACAGAACAGGTTTGCACTGTCCATTTTACTTAGGGCCCTCACAATTTCGAACATCTCCCACAAACGTCCCCTCTCCTACACACAGCAGCTCCTCTTTATCCTCATTGAAGACCCTGAGCCCTGGAACCTTTCTTGTAAAGCTTTTCCGCACCCTCTCCACCTTCTTAAAGTCTGGTGTCCAAATTTGGACACCCAAACTCCAGGTGGAGCTGTTTTATTTATAAAGCCTCCTGCTGAGATCTCCTCAACAGTTCAGCTAGAGAGGCAGGACTGTTATGTTCACTGCCCATTCCCTTCTGGGCATCACCCCTTCTTCTCGCTGCATTTTAACTCTAACACGCCTGATCCACCGCGCCCAGGGGCATCACATCCCCCCAAACCACAGGGTCTATCAATGGTTGGGTTTTACCTTTCTGGGCTGCTCCTCTTGCCGTTCTCGTTGACCTCCAGAAGGTCCGTTGAGTTGACAGGGGATGTGGCGTTGGCATTCAGCACCAAGTGCTCATGCTGAGCCAGGTACTGAGCTGGCGTTTGTTTGGCGGAGCGGGCACAGTGCAGTAGTTCCCGCTGCAGCAGTGGCAGGTTGGCCTGGGGAAACAAAAGTCACACACAAGACCTCACCAACACCTCCAATCTTCAGCATGCATACCCCCTTTTTCCCAGCTTCTGAAGAAGGGTCACTAGATCCGAAACGGTAAATCTGCTTTCTCTTCATAGGTGTTGCCAGACTTGCAAAGTTTCTCCAGCAATTTCTGCTTTTGTTTCAGACTTCCAGCATCCGCAGTTCATGGTTTTCCTATCCATTATTTCTCTACGTCATTGACTGCATTTACATAGCATCATCCATGCAGCATAATCACAATAAAACAGATGATCTATTCATCATCACTTTGCGGTGTGCGGGAGTTTGCTGTGTGCAGATTGGCCACTGCATCTTTTACATCACAACAGTAGGCTAACATCCAGTCAATAAAGTACTTTGAAAAATGTTTGAAAGGTGCTAGAGAATTGCAAGCCTTTCTTTTGTTTAATGTGTCAAATTAATTTCACCCATAATGTCATCTTTTCATATACCTTGACAGAATCACTTCTCAGAATGAAACACGCTTGAGTTCTTGGATGATGGTTAGGCCACTTTTAGAATACTGCTTTCAGTTCTGGTCTCCCTGCTACAGGAAAAATACTGTCAAACTAGAAAGGGTTCAGAAAAGATTTACAAGCTTGTTTTCGGGTTGGAGAGTTTGAGCTACAGGGAGAGGCATGAATAGGCTGGGGCTATTTTCCCTGGAGCGTCTGAGGCTAAAGGGTGACCGTATAGAAGTTTATAAAATCATGAGGGGCATGGATAGGGTGAATAGTCAAGGTCTTTTCCCCAGGGTGGGGGATTCCAAAACTAGAGGGGCATAGGTTTAAGGTGAGAGGGGAAAGATTTAAAAGGGACCTAAAGGGTAACATTTTCACACAAAGGATGGTGTGTGTACAACACACGAGCTGCCAGAGGAAGCGGTGGAGGCTGGTACAATTACAACATTTAAAAGGCATCTGGATGGGTATATGAATAGGGAGGGTTTAGAGGGATATGGGCCAAATGCTGGCAAATGGGACTGGATTAATTTAGGATATCTGGTCGGCATGGACAAATTGGACCAAAGGGTCTGTTTCCGTGCTGTTCATCTCTATGACTCTATATTACAAACTGCGCAAGACAAGTTCTTCCAGCAATGGTATTACCTATCAGCAGAGATAAAATCCCAGGGAGAAAAGGGTCCTTTAATGACTAATTGTGGCTGTGCCATGCGATGGGGCTGATTAGTGAATGCTTCACATGTGCCTGTGTCAATGTGCTACGTTACCGAACAAGACTGAATTCCAGCTACAAGTCAGCCAACACGATAGCACCAGCAAATTCTTTTTTGGACACTAGCCCATGTTGTCAGGGGGAGCCACAGAAAATGAAGGAGCTGGCTCGATGTGTCTTGAGATGACAGTGAAATCTGAAACAAACATATTCCCAGTAACAAACCAGTCAAGTGTGGTAATGTGCAATAAAAAATATCTTCATTTCCCAGGCAACAGGGACCTGGTTCCCCTCTCATTTGGGAAATTTGGACGCGTATACACAGAATTTAATCAGACATACAGCGTTGAAACAAATCATTTAGCCTAACCGGTCAACACTGCTGGTTATGGTCAAGATTTCTGGCCACCTGCCTAATGCCTCTGTGTGTGACTTGCAATTGAACTTTCTTGATAACGCTCCTGTGAAGTGGCTTGGGACATTTTACACCGTTAAAGGTGCTTTATCAACGCAACCCGCTATTATGTTCCACATGAACCTCTTCCCGTCCCTCTTTTTCTCACACTACCAGCAAATAAGGTGATGGCATAATATAATATCACAGGATTATTGATCCTGGGAGCCTGGATTCAAATCCTGCCATAGCAGATGGTGAAATCTGAATTCAACAATAATCTGTTTTAAAATCTGGAATTGAAAATCTTTAAAAAACCATTTGGTTCACTAATGCCCTTCAGAGGAAAAAAAAATATTGTTTTTATCTGGTCTAGGACTCCAGACCCCACAGCAATGTGGTTGACTCTTAACTCTGGGCAATTAGGGATAAGCAAGGAAATGCTGACCTAGTCAGTGATGAATACATCTGACAAATGAATTAAAAAACAAGCCCTACTTCTTTCTAAAACAAAAACAGAAATTACTGGAAAAGCTCAGCAGGTCTGGCAGCATCTGTGGAGAGAAATCAGAATTAACATTTCGGGTCCAGTGGCCCTTCCTCACAACTTGAAGAATGTTAACTCTGCTTTCTCTCCACAGATGTTGCCAGACCTGCTGAGCTTTTCCAGCAATTTTTGTTTTGTTGCTGATTTCCAGCCTCCGCGGTTCTTTATTCCCGGTTTCTGTCTCCCTTATGTAGCTTCTCCTGAAATGCATCATTCCACCATCTATTTGCCTCAACAACACTTGGCAATGGTAAGTTCCAAATTCTCATCAGTCTTTCACCCAGGTAGAGGTTTCTCCACAATCCCCCACTGGATAGTTCAGTTTACTCAAGCAATGCTGATTACACAGTGCAATTCCAGACTTTTACATGGCCAGTATGTGCTGCCAAGTCTTATTTTCCAGGGCACAAACCCCCACATTGCCTTGGTGGGTAAACAGTGCTATACTGAGTCACACAGACCAGAAAGACTTGGATCTCATGGCTATGTGAAGCTCAGCAGGGTTTACTGGAACTGGTTTCAACATCCCCAGGCAGGAAATTAGGGAGTCAAAAACAAACCAAGGTCTCTATGGAAGATAAGATTCCTCTGTGCGCGTGTGGATCCAAGGTGAGATCAGATTGGTCTTGGCTGTGATGCTTACTTTGTCAAATAGTCCACTGATGCCCACTGTCCCAAATAGCAATTTGATTGTAAGAAAAGTTTAAACTTCACCTTAGATCAGCAAGAATAAGGACAAGAGAGGATTAAAACAAGCTAAAGTGTTAGGATCACAGATGTTTGTTTTAATTCATTGTTTAGGGTGAGAAAGGAATAATAAATGGAGCTAGCCTGACATTTTAACACTAAAGGCGCCACAAAAATCCAAGATTGCTTTCAGTAAAAATGACAAATTTTACATGGAGATTGTATTTTTGGGAATATTATTTATGCTTTTAAATTTGTGCAGAGAATGTTAAGGTGGGGGAGGAGAATAAAGCACAGTTTAAAACACTGTTTACTCATTTACTGGCAGTACAAAACCTCAGATGTATCTGACTGCCTGAAACTTCATAACTCTAACTCTGGGTAAAGCTCCCTAAAAACCTTTTGATAAAGTTCATCTCCCAAAGAGAGAAGACAGAAAGAGGAAAAACTCTCAGACATGGACACACACAGACGCACGCATACATGCACACACATACATGCACAGACACACACATACGTGCACACACAGACACATGCATATGTGCACACATGCATGCGCACACAGACACACATGTGCATATACACACATGCACACACACGTGCACGCACACACAAAGAACACAGTCACACACAAATGCATACAGACATTGAGACATGTTTGCACACACAAAGACATGGATTCCTAAATGCACGTTAATAGATACCCACATAAATGCACAGGTACATGCACAGATATACACACATATGCAGGGACATACATAGACATTCAAGCCCGCATAGACACATGCACACGCACATACACACCTACAAAAACATCACACCCGTACATACACATGTACACACTCACACACTTGCAAACTTAGCTCAAAGTCCCATTTTAATAGGCAGACACACAGTTTGATATTATGCAAACATATGCACTCCAGCAAGCTTCCCTTTCTCTTTGGCAAGTTCAAAGACAATTAAAGCTGAGCAATGTTGATCGGAATGGGCCACGAAGTCTTGCTGGTGCTAATGTCAGCAGTGGACCCAGTAATTGAAATGGTTTCCATTATCTTTGCAGCGAGCAATTTGACATACTGCAGATTGGAATGGGAGTCGGAGGGTTACATTAATGTAATGAAAGGCAGGCTGAAGTGAAGGCAGTTACAGCTGCTTCCTCTCATTGAGGATTCAGCTCAAATATCCAAACACATATGGTCCCTGTCATTTACTTTTCCCTCAGAGGGCGGATGCTATGGCGTTGAGTGAGAAAAAAATCCTCCCGTTCGAATGATTGCCACTAAGTGATATGGAGCCCATATGGTGTGCGATGCTTCTACAAAAAAAAAGAGGTTGCAGCACGGTTTCACACTCATGCTCCGCAACAGACATCACCACATCCCCCCACCCTCCCCTCTCCCTCCATCTCACCAACAACACCACCAACTCTCCTCCTCTACCCCCAACATCAGGAGGGCGAGTCCCATGATAAACATCACTCATGCAAGACTGTGCTGAAAATCTCAACTGCAAGAATAAAACAAAAAAATTATACCCACTTCAATAGAAAGAAAAATAAAGTTCGGACTTAAACATCACAAATAAAAATTGCAATGGGTGAAAATGAGGCAGAAAAAGAAACCCTGAAAGAACTACAGATGCTGGAACTCAAACAAAAGCAGAAATTGCTGGAGAAACTCGACAGGTCTGGCAATGTCTGTGGATGGAAAGCAGTGTTAATGTTTCGGGTCCAAATACCTTTCTTCAGAACTGACAGTAGCTAGGAAAAGGCTGGTCTTAAAGGCTGCCAGACCTGCTGAGTTTTTCCAGAAATTTCTGATTTTGTTTCAGAAAACGGCAGAAATATCTGGAAGCCTCAGACAAGCTTATACTAGTGGTGGCTTTGAACCAATGGATTCTGTTGCAAACAGGTATGTTTTCTCGTGTCAGCATTTTCTACCTGTATTTTGTAAAATAGGATGATTAGAGACATCCCACATCCCCAAAATCTGCTCTGCCTTCACTAGGATCACAGCCTATCACCTACTTCATCTCCATTTTCCTCCCCTGTTGCCTGCGTCACTTGATTCCCTTTGGAATCCAAAAATCTATCAAGTCTTGAACATTCTCAACATTCGGGAGCAGCCACTGATCTGAGGTTGAGAATTCCAAAGATCCACAAACTCCAAACCTTTCCTCATCTCAGTCCAAAATGGCTGATACCCTGTTTTGAAAAGGTGACCCCCCTCCGCATCCACCCCCCCTCCCCACCCCCCATCATTCTCAACTGCCCCAGCCAGGAGAGCAAAGAAACTCAGAAAATGCAATTGTGACAGTTGGCGATTTACTGACGAGGGGTATCATTGAGATGTAATTAATTAGGAGCTTATATCGAGACACAGTCACTTGCTGCTAATGGGCTCCTCCCTCCCCAACTCAGGGTTTGGGATCTGACAGAAACACATGGGCACCATGAATGCTGTGATCCTTTACAAAGGGAGTTGCAGCAAACTTCGGGGTTGGCACTGTTGGGTCCACATCTCTGAACGGATATTCCTTGAAGTTTAATGACAATGAACTCTGACCGTGTCCAATGATGTGCATCTGCCCCAATACTGCCAAACGTTCGAAAGGAAATGCAATTAAAAATACTTTCTTGTCTGAATTTTCTCCCAGATGTTGCTGGCTGCAGCATTTGCGGAGGTGAATTGTCAATTCCTGGCCAGCCCAGGCTAATCATGAATAATTTGGCATCTCTAAAAGTCCTCAGAATGATCCAGACATGGGATAGAATGTGAGCACGAACCTTTGTCAAAGGAGACAGGGAGTGGTAGAGGTCTGTGCAGCTTTCACAAAGGGCTGTGAAATAATCGAAACTTCATTGCCGTTTCTCTTTCCAACTCTGCTGTGAAACTTCAGATGGACTTTCCGGGCATTCCAATGGAGTGGTCATTTAGTCCCATCGGATTGTAGGAAATGGGCAGTAAATGGCGGATGGACCCAATTCTACCTTCAGCAAGGTCCTCCCAATCGACACTTCACTTTGTCTGACTTCGGCAAACTCTTGCACGGAGGACAGCGAACTACGTCCCCACTGTGAACCCATTCCAAGACTCAGAAACCATTGCAGCGCCTCAGTGGGAACAGAGCGGGGGTTGGAGGCTACGACAGCAGGGGCCAGTGGGAGCAGGGGCCGTAATGATGTGGCCAGAGTTCCACAGTGGCCATCCCTTGAACCAGAGCTCATAAGTGCCCCACCACCTCCCCCCACCCCCCCTCCCCCCCCCCCCCCCCCCCCCCCATTCTGGAGAGTTCTGTTCTCAATATTCGGTCAGGGACCCGAGTGAAGTAAGTTGTTCAATGGGACACTTACCAGTCCATCAACCCCACTTGGAGCATCACGACATCTCCAGCTGCTACGCGGAACGCTGTCATTTAGGCAAATCTGTAGCACTAATAGAAAGTGCATCATTTTCGCCCCTCGAGGGACTAATCAGGTATTTGTCCAGAGACCAAATCTGCAACAGCTCGACTAACGCAAGAGCGAGAGTCACTGTCATGGACTCATTCACCAAGACGAGCATTTTTGATATGTTAAAGACTTAAGAACATGAAGACCTTATTCCCCCAGTGACCTCATTAAAAGGCTCTTGACTGTTACAGTCAAAAGATGTCATTTAATTGCCAGTCCACATCACACCATGCATTCAGACTCTGATTAACATGACGCACTCCTTTTCCAGTGACTTTAACGCGGAATATGAATAAAAGCTCTGCAAAGGTGAGTTTGTTATTCATTTATATATAAATCTGGCATCCAGTGTCTATCAGGCATCGCTTATTGTAGTGGCTGCAGAACTATTTTCCTCAAACAAAGGCAGGAAAGAAAGCTAGGGACTTAACCAGGGTGGCTCGGTGGTTAGCACTGTTGCCGCACAGTGCCAGGGACCCAGGTTCAATTCCAGCCTCGGGCGAATGTCTGTGTAGAGTTTGCACATTCTCCCCGCGTCTGCGTGGGTTTCCTCCGGGTGCTCTGGTTTCCTTCCACAGTCCAAAGATGTGCAGGTTAGGTGGGTTGGCCGTGCTAAATTATCCTGTAGTGTCCAGGGACGTGCAGGCTAGACATGGACATGCAGGGATAGGATGGGGAGCTGGGAAGCCCTTCAGAGGGTCAGTGCACACTTGATAGGCCGAATGGCCTCTATCTGCATCCTAGGAATTCTATCCATCAAATTTTAGTGGTGGCATTTTCACGTGATTCTCCTCAGCATTCAGAATTACCTGGACTTGCCTATTTATGACCCACAGGCTGAAAGAAGAAATTTGGGTTTGACCAGATAAACATTAAACCCATTGAACAGCTGTGCAATGGCTGGATTCAGCAAACCTCTGTGCCCTTCCTCAACATTCCACTTTGTGCTTTCCAACAGATGGATAACAGCAACCCAGAGAAAAACAAAAACACGTTATTTTGCATGGAAAGTTCTGGGGATCAGTGTTATGGGTGGTGGCGATAGAAGGTGCGGAGCAGTTGTGAGGCTGGAGACTGTCAACAACACACAATTCATGCCCCCAGTCGACAGTTTAGAAGCACAAAATACCGGGCAATAAGAGATTGCTAATGCAAAACAGACTGCAACAGTTCAGGAAGGCAGCTCACCACCAGCTTCTCACAGGGCAATGAGAAATGCTGGCTCAGCCAGCGACACCCACATTACACAAGTGAAGAGTAAAAAATAAATTACCACGGTCAGGTCGCCCTGCAATAATCCATGTGACAATTCAGTAAATTTCAATGTCCCTCTACTGGAAAATTCTCCTTCTGAAACGGATACCAAAAAGGGGAAATCACCTGCCAATCTTCCGTGATTGATCAAACACCTCCAGGAATGACTAACTTTCCGTTACAGAAAGCACAGGGGCAATAAAGAAAAAGCTTTTGTTTGAATACTTGGGCTTGTTAGTGATAAAAATCTTGGCGATTTTGAAATGGCAGGCAGTTGACAATTGTCTGAGCAGGTCACAGAGACTTAGCGACTAGTGTGGCCACGTTGTGGGGATGAGGGAAAGGCGGCGGTGGTGGGGGGAGAAGGGTGGGGGGGGGGGTTGATGGGGGAGGTTCTGCTGCTCAGAGATGACAGGCCCACCTCACTCTGCAGTATCTGCACTGCCTGCCTTTGCTGGAGTGGCCCCTTAATGGGGCAGGTTTCACGCTAGAAACAAATCATTCTTAATAATGTGGATAAAGAGTCCGATACAGGATGTTCAATTAGCTGCTATTCATGCGACATGATGCTTAACAGAAGAGAGGGCAGTGTGAGAATACATCATCATGTAGTTCGGTCTGGAATGCACTGCCTGGAAACATCGTGGAGGCAGGTTCCACTGGGACATTTAAGAGGGGCATTGGATGGTTATTTGGATAGAAATGGTGTGCAGGGATAAGGGGAAAAGATGAGAGATTGATATTAGGGAACAGAACCAGAGCAGGCACAATGGGCTGAATGGCCTCTTTCTTCAAGTACCAATTTTGTGATTCTGAGATACTGATGACTGTCTTTGGAGCCAAGGGTTTCTCCTGTTGGAAGAGAATTTGTGGAGGAGTTGGGGTTGTGAGGGGCGGGGTTTGGAGGCCATTCTATCACCTGTTGGCTTAACAGCTAGAGTGAGACTCACTTGTGCCTTCTCTGGGAAGGTCCATTTGCTGCTCCTGCCCCACTCAAAGGCTAAGGGTACATGGTCCCCAGGATCAAGGACATAAGAGGTGGATCTCAGCGGGACTCTCCCTGATGCTTGGACCTTTGATACACAGGAGTTGCTGGTCGTGCTCTCTGCACGGTGACGCTCTCATCCCAGCTGGTTACTGTGGAATGAAGCAGTGCAGCAGTGGGATCTGACTGCTGAATTCCACCAGGGGCCTCTCCACCCCAGGGTTAATTTTAGCAGAAATGGGGAAGAATTGCAAGCCACCCTCTGCCTGATTAAATATATTCCCTCACCTCCAAAACACTCCTTAAGAGAGGGTTAGAGTTAGGGTTAGGGATTCTGCCTCCTCACTGTTAACTCTCTTTCTCCCACTGACAATTCTTTATACAGAGGGGTGTCGAGACTGGATCTCCAAGTATATTTAATATTGAGATGGGCAGATCTTTAATTAGTAAGGGAATCAAGGGTTACAGTGAAAAAAGCAGGAAAGTGGAGTTGAGGATTATCAGATCTTTGAAAGGCAGAACAGACACAATATGCTGAATGGCTTACTTCTGCTCCTATGTCTTACAGTCTGACTCATTGAATATTCCAACCATTTTCTGTTTCTATCTCAGATTTCCTGCATCTGCAGCCCTCTGCTTTGCGACTAGTGATAACTTCCAGGACGGATTTCCCATTTCCTCCCTTCTCCCGTTCCTCCTACCCTGTCCCACCTCCCAAAAAAAAAAATGAAAGCTGGGCTCTCACAAGACAATGGACATTCTTCAAAACAGAAGAAGACTGCATTACCTTTAAGAATGGAATTACAAAGGGGCGCAGTGGGAAGTTTGTTGCCTCTTGCAGCTTGGAATGAAACTCTTCAATGGTCACGGTTGAGTTCTGGAAGGGTAGGTAAGAAAATAAAAAAAGAATGTCAGCTGTGTGTTTGTAAGTGAAGCCATATTCTCAGGGTTTTAACTTTGCTGCAATATTCCAATATCACCACCTCCCTCCAAACAGATAGTTTTAAGTCCATCAAGAACTGGTCCTTGTTGAACTCAACATTTGGCTTTATAAACTACCAGCCAACACAAGCAGGAGAGGCAATGGCCTAGGTGTTTTTGTCATTAGGCTATTAATCTAGAGACCCAGATAATATTCTGGGGCCCCAAGTTCAAATCCTGCCATGGCAGATCCTGGAATTGGAATTCAGTGAAAATAATCTGGGATTATTAGCACTGCTGTCTCACAGCGCCAGGGACCCGGGTTCGATTCTAGTCTTGGGCGACTGTCTGTGTGAGTTTGCTCCAGGTGCTCCGGTTTCATCCCACAGTCCAAATATGTACAAGTAAGGTGGGTTGGCCATGCTAAGTTGTCCATACTGTTCAGGGGTGTGTAGGTTAGGTGTGTTATCCATGGGAAATGCAGGGTTACAGGGACAGCGGAGGGAGTTGGGTCTGGTTGGGATGCTCTCTGGAGGGCCAGTGTGGACTTGTTGGACCAGATGGCCTGTTTCCACACTGTGGGGATTCTATAAGAGCCCAATGACAACCATGTTGGGGAAAAATCCATCTGGTTCACTAATGCCCTTTAGGGAAGGAAATCTGCCACCCTCATCTGGTCTGGCCTACATGTGACTCCAGACCCACAGCACTCTCAACTGCTTCTGGGCAATTAGGGATAGGCAATAATTACTGGCCTTGATAGCCATGCCCTATGAACAAATGTAAAAATAAATTCCACACTGGAACCGAACCAACAAGCCTCCAAAACCGACCAAGTCAATGTTAACAACTCATTCGATGCTTTCAGGAACTCTTTTCAATTCCAAAAATGAAGTATAACCACAAAAGGAGCCAGATGCAGTGACCAGAACACCCCAAACCCAAATACCATCAACTTCACTGAAAATCACTTGATTAACACAAAACAAAAAATTTACCTGCTTAAAAAGCAATTTCCTTGAGTAAAGATTTTGAGAAAAAAACTGAATGTCGGCAAGCACACTTACATTGAGTTGCAATAATGAACAAACAGCAAAATAACATTAGTCACAAACAAACTGTGCTCATGTCAACATAGGGGTAGATACAGGTTAATCAGTTGTCTGTCCTCAACTGTTCTCCAGACGTAAGAAAATTCTGAAGTATTATTTGTAAATTAAATAAAACTTCAACCAACTAAGGAGGCCACGTCCACATTGGTCAGAACAATAACGCTGTAATGTTTATATCGACTAGATTTGACCTCGTTGATGAAAAACACTAACTTGGTGTAAATAGGGACAATGAGAGGATAATTTAAGGGAAGCTTCATTAGACCCTGTGATGATGATTGCACTTTTATTGTCAATTGTTCAACGAGATTGTCAAGGTGTCCACTCTATCCAGAAGTAGCTCACAAAGCACGTGCAGAATCAGATATACTTTACGTAACATCTTAGGGTTAGGTATAAAGACACTCTCTCAAAAAACACAATAAGCAGGACAATAAAATGTATCCATTTCCCATTTTAAGGTGCAAACTGGATTTTGGCACAATACAGACTGACACAATTTAGTTTTGTGTTCTCTAAAACGCCACAGGTTGTAACAGGGCGTTTTCTATAATCTTTGTAGCCAGGGTCAGGACCAAGCAAACCACATCTGGTACAGCAGAGCCTAGCGAAAGCGTCAAGCTTGCTTGATCAAAGTGCCTCAGACCCCACCCCTTAATGCCTCACTGTGACATTGCTACATTCGCAACAGTTATAACCTTGTGGTCTCCAAACAGTTTTGTTAATATATGCTGAATTAGGGGCTTTGCTCTGGTACCCAAGACCTCCTCTTAACTCATTTTAGATTGGAGCTTTATAGTCAGCAGCTTAGAACAAAGACTTTAATGCAGTCATTGGTCTGTGTTCTCAGCCAGAAAGAAGGCCCAAAGCATAGCAAGGCAGCAGTGGGATGGCTTGTACCCCAACCTACACAGGTATCGTCCTTCATCCTGAATTTGTACAGCCCACTTTTGCAACAGGCATTCTGAATGTCAACCTAAAACAGCTCTTAGGCCCCATGGAGATGTTGATGAGTGGGCCTAAGTTCTATGGGAAGACGTTGAGTGGAACAAATGCCTTTCACGGTGAACACAGGGGCGCTCTTCCTGGTCACACTGAATGCCTACTCCCTGAGATTTCTTACCAACTATCTCCCTGCCTCACCCCATCCTAACCTCCGACTTCACTGTCCTCCCCTCCTTTCTCCTGAGGCTTAGCATAGGGCCACTGGAGTACAACATGCCTGTGGGGTCTTGATAGGTGACAACAGCTCAATCGGAACACCTCTGGCCGGTTTTAGGCCTCTCTGTTCCAGAGTGTGATGTTTTGATGAGTAAATCCCACTCCGGTTTCAGGGTAACGGCCTGGGATTTGGCAGGAAGGAACCTGCAAGGGGATATCCAACAAACAGGGAACCAGCCAGAAGAGTTAGAAACAATGGGTGGTTGAGAAAAGTCTATTTTGAAGGGGAGAAAAGGCAGGGAGAGGCAGAGGGAAGACAAAGTCGTATAACATGAGAATGGATGGTTTGAGTCATAAGGACAGGATAGATTTCACTTTCCTACTAGAGCGGAGGAGGTTGAGGTCGACCCCAGAGGTTTACAAAATCATATAGATAAGGTGAATGGGCAGGTGTCTTTTCCCTAGAGTGGGTATTTCAAGACTAGGGGCATATTTTTAAGGTGAGAGGAGAAAGATTTAAAAAAGACAGCAGGGGCCATGTTTTTTTTACATAGGGTAGTCCAGGGGAAGTAGTGGATGTGGGTACAGTTACAACATTTAAAATACATTTGGATAAGTACATGAATAAGAAATGTTTGGAGGGATATGGGCCAAGCGCAGGCAGATGGGACTGGTTTAGTTTGGGATTATGGTCGACATGGATGGTTGGACCGAAGGGTCTGTTTCTGTGCTGTATGGCTCTATGACTCTATAATGCAAATACCAGCACCGCCAATGTGGAAATGCACAAAACTGAACTAATAGAATTATTGGGTGTTAAATGACACGAGCTACAAATATGAAAGCAGATGGAATGATGAATCTAAGCCAACAGTTCAAGTCACGTGTACGGCCCGGGTACCACACTCAAGAAGCAATTAACAATGAACCATCGACTCACCAAGATGTTGTAAAGTTGTCATTGACCCAGAGGAATGCAGTCATGGTCTCTCATTAAAAGACAGATGACTGGTGCCGAGTGCATCCATACCTCAGCCAAGGGTGAGGTCACAAGGAAGGCAATTTTGTGATCACCTCAGGAAGTGAACCTGCATCAGACACCAGCCATCCTGCCAACTGAGCTAGACTCCTCCCAGACGCTACAATGGTGTGGAAAGATACGTACTTGGCAATGAAATGAGCTTAACAAATTAGGATTAATTTAGTTTGAACAGAGGAGTTCAAAAAGGAGCTGTTTAGAGTCAAGAAGAGATGGGATAAGGTAGGTAGAATTGTATGGTTTTCCGTAGTTTAAGAGTTGAGTTTGAGATAATTGATAGAGAGTTATATTTAACGGATTTAGGACAGAATAAGGGAATATTTTTTACACAAGGGCTAGGAGGCCATGGAAGACACTGTTAGAATTAGCCATTCGAGCAGAAAGCATGTCAATATTCAAGATGAGGTCAATTAAGTGTCTGCTTGTACAGAAAGAAGGTGCCCTGTTACTGATGTAGCTTTTTGTAATTCCACAGCGTGCTGCTTCTTTACAAAAATGGAAAAATTGCAAAAAGCAGGCAAACAAGTTCAGATTTTCATCTTTAAACTCCACCTTTCGAATGAACAATTCAACCTACGCCCTGTACAAGTATTTTTCGAGGAAGGATGTTCAGGTGTTGAGGAACCCAGACGGATGAATGGAGGTGGTCAGTCACAATCAAACTGAATGGCAGAGTAACCTGCAGAGGGGCTGAACGGCCAACTCTCAACATCGCAAGTGCCTCTCTCTTCCTCCCTGCCGCACCCCAGCAGCCCCCAAACGAGACCCGTACTCACCACCAGCGCCAGGACAAGGCTGCGGACGCGTTCCCCGATCTCCGGCGAGATGTCATTGCCGAACTGCTGCAGGGTGGTGAGGAAGCGCTTCAGTTTGCTGAGCTGACGGGCACCACAGGTAGCAGGGAGCTGCTGGCTGGCAAGGGAGGACGATGGACCATTGTTGAACCGTTGAGGTGGCGATGGCACACCATTGAGGGCAGGCGGGGAGTGGTCAACACCATTCGGCACTACGGGGTGGGTGGGGAGGGGGTGGGGGGGGGTGGGGGGTGAAGAAACAAACAGACCTTGTTAAGACTCCTGGAGAAAGTCATTGGCATTTTTGCCTCTTTGCACAGGTGAATAGACTTGATGGGCTGAATGCCATCCTTCTGCCCCTACACCTCACAGTCTTGTTTGATATTTTAACTCAATCCTTTCAAAATGATAGGGCTCATGCGGCACAGTTGTAGTGTCCCTAACTCTGAGCCAAGAGGCCCAGGTTCAGATCCCACCTACCCCCCGAGGTATGTATGTAACAATATCTCTGTCACAGCTTTAACCAGATAATATCTATGCATGCAAACGTGCAGGGCTCTTTGTGGTGCTGTGACAGTTTAACTGTCTCTGACAGTCCAGGTTCAAGTCCAAAGAGCTCCATAATGTCGGCAAACAGGTTGGTCAGGAATCTCTCTGGTGAAACGTTATGGCACTTTCGGGATCTGCATGCACATTTCCCAGATGTGGGTTGAAAAGGTGCTGAGTTCTTTAAACTGCAGGGCTTTCAAATTAAGAAACACCTGCATTTCCTGTAGCAGGAATGGGGCCTTAAAAGTTGATCAGTTGGGCCGTACCAGCAATTCAATAAATCAAAGGGGTTTGGGGAGAGCCCACTGCTGTTGTCAATGCTCAGTTGGCTCTCCATCCAGCTGCCTTGGAATTTGTGACTCCATGATTCCTATCATCACTCCATGGGGTGGGGGGTCACAACACTCAGTTCAGGAAGCCCTGCTCCATTAGGCCTTTCCCCACCATTCCCGCTAACACCACCCCCCCCCCGGCAAAAAAACTTTAAACAGATGGCATTTGAACCTGCACCTCCAGATGATTAGCCTCAGGCTCTGAATTACTCACCGCAACACCATGACTCTCAAACCTCATCCTGAGGAGCCATGAACTAAAGGTTAAATCGATGAGGTTGAAGAAGGAGGAGGTAGATGCAGAGACAAAAAAAAAACAAAACCGTTTTCCAACCATTTGTGAGTTCTCTTTGAAGTTATACCCAGCAATGAACGTCGATGCATAGGGCAGGGGATTTTGCCAGCTTAAGTTTTAAATATTGTCTCTTCTAGAAATAACCCAATGTAGGAGATCCCATCAGTTAAAGTTATGAAGCTTTTACTATTTCTGCTGTCCTGCCCTTATCGAATTAAATCCATTCTGACTTATCAAGGGTTTAAACAAAGCATGCGGATTAACAATGTAACAGCAAACAAATCCCAGAAGAATTTGGGGCGACGGGGATAAGAAACGAAACCTACGTGATGTCGGGGTGAAGGAGGTCGGCCGAGTGCCCCCTTGGTTCCCAGACGGAGGTGGTGGTGGCATGGTCGGTGGGGTGGCTCGGGATTGAACCTTCACGTCCACTGGTGACCCAGGCATCGTGGAACGGGTCTTCTCTCCGTTGACTAGAAAAAAATCAACAAAAAATAGGTTGCTTTTTTTAATCTTCGGACCTCAATATTTGAAACGAGAAAATCACTGACAAAACTGAAGCAATCCAACACGTCACATTGTAATTAAGGGGAAAGAACAACACTTACCTGGTCTCCTCTTGGGTCATTTATAGTATTTTTCCCCTAACAGCGGAGGCAATGGCCCAGTGGTATTATCATTAGACGATTAATCCAGAAACTCAGCTCATGTCCTGGGTACCCCAGGTTCAAATCCCACCATAGCAGATGGTGGAATTTGAATCCAATGAATAATCTGGAATTAAGAGTCTAATAATGACCGTGAAACAATTGCCAGGGGAAAACCGATCTGGTTCACTAAAGCCCCTTTTGGGAAGGGAATCTGCCATCCTTACCTGGTCTGGCCTACATGTGACTCCAGACCCACAGCAATGTGGTTTATTCTTAACTGCCCTCTGGGCTACTAGGATTGGGCAATAAATGCTGGCCTGGCCAGGGAAACCCACATTCCATGAGTGAATTAAAACAAAATAATTTTTTTAAAAAGGCAATTGGTCCACCAGTTTCCTAAATGGGTAATTCCTCTAGCATCACTACCCTGCCAGCTTTATCCCCACATCCCATCTCTTCAGATATTTCCTGCCTGGGCTTGATGTGGCTGAAGGCTGGTTGACTTCAGGAGGGTCCAGAGGAGTTTTTAAAGAGCTTCGGTCCATCGTAACTGTGCAGGTCATCAAGTATCTATCAAGGATCTGACCCTGTGTTCACCTGATGTCCACAGACATGCTGCTGGACCAGAGGGATTTACCCAGGGTGATGCTCCCCATTCTGGGAGGCTGACTCACATCCTCAATACTTTCCCGACTGAGGCAAGAGCACAGAGCACAGCTCACCAGCTGCTCTCGGAGCTTCTCTTGAGCTACACAACTCAGGCAAATTAAACCTGTGGCTTGCTTTGCAGACTTGAGCACCAAATCCGCATCTCACGCTCCTGCCAAGTGCTGATGGAGCATTGCATGGTCAGGAATACCGTCTTTCGAGTGACATTATAAACAGGGAGCCCCAGCTGCTCCTTCGTAGGGGGTGTGCAAGGTGCTGTGTCAAGACCTGCTGGGCCGAATGGCCTCCTTCTGTTCTGTCAATGACATGCAATTGTGCTTCTTTTGAAGAAAACAACACACAAGTGAACTCCCTGTATCCTGACCAATAATTCTCTCTCAACCAACAGTCGCTAAATGAGATGATCTGATCATTTACGGCATAGCTGTCTGTGGGAGTTTGCTGTGTGTAAATTGGCTGCCTTGTTCCTTAAATTACAACAGAGACCCAACAAAGTCAGTCATTGGGTTGCGAAGCCCTCTGGGATTTCCCAAAGTTGTGAAAGGCGCTATATCAATGCAGGCATTTGTTTACCCAGCACAACAGGAGACAGGACATGACTAGCCCAGAAAAACTTCAATTGTCACTGGGTTGGTTATTTAAAAAAAAACCCACAAATGGACCATATGTGACGGACGGGCAAAGGAGATAGTTTTTGGCCATTCCATTGGTTTCCTGACAGTAAACGGGGCAGCAACAAATGGATAGCTACATAAATCTGTTGCTTTCCTGGAAAGGTCTTGCGCTGTTTTACTAGGTATCTAGTGTTGGAAGGAAGCAAGTTTCAAAACTCTGCTTTTGGCGAGGATCTATTTTTCACCTGATGAGGACACCAACAACAACTGCATTTACATAGCGCCTTAATGCAGCAAAACACCCTGCTGCTGGGGAGCGTTATGCAGTAACGATTTCACCGCAGGAGGTCGTCATTGGGCAGGTGACTAAAAGCTTGGTCAGGGATTTGACGGAGTGTTCTGATGGAGGTGGAGAAGTGGGGAGTCTTGGGGAAGGAAGTTCAGATCTTAGGGTCCGGACATTTGATGGCTCGGTTGGTAACGGTGAAGCAATTAAAACTGTGACTGTGCTACAGGTGGAGCTTGGGGGAATACAGCGGTTTCAAGAGGGTTGTAAGGCTGGATGAGATTGTAGAGATTTTGGAGAGTGGGGTTCAGAGACCATTTGACAGCAGGGATAAGAGTTTTAAAACGGAGGCGTTACCAGGTGGGGAGCCAGTGTCAGTCACCAAACACAGGCATCATGGGTAAACAGGTCTTGGCACTCAACAGGATTGAGCACAGAGTTTTGGATGGGATCAAGTTTAAGGCAGGAGAAGGTGACAGAATGGACAAGTCATAGAGTCATACAGCAGGGAAACAGACCCTTCGGCCCAACTCATCCATGTCGACCAGGTTTCCCAAACTAAACTAGTCCCACTTGCCTTCATTTGGCCCATATTCCTCTAAACCTTCCCTATCCACGCACCTGTCCAAATGTCTTTTAAATGTTATAATTGTACTCACCCCTACCACCTTCTCTGGCAGCTCATTCTATACATGCACCACCCTCTGTGTAAAAAGGTTGGCACTTTTAAATCTTTCCCCTCTCCCCTTAAACCCGCACCCTCTAGTTTTGGACTCCCCCACCCTGAGGAAGACCTTGACTATTCACCCTATCCATGCCCCTTGTGATTTTATAAACCTCTATAAGGTCACCCTGCACCTCTGACGCTCCAGGGAAAAGAATCCCAGCCTCTCCTTATAACTCAAACATTATCAGTAACACCATGATAAATCATTTTTGCACCCTTTCCAGCTTAATAACAGCCTTCCTATGGCAGGGCGGCCAGAACTGTACTTGGAGTTAGTGGTGGCGCAGGGAAGGGTTTACGCAGCTGACCAGCCGAGGGATGGGGAGACGAAGAGGGGTCCGAATGTTTGGATGGTTGATTCATTTGTTTTGATGGCTCCGTGCGCATGTGCAATGTCAATGTGGAAATGGCTTTGAAGTAAATTTTGTGAAATGCGCCTGACACCATACAAATGCATGTCGTCATTACCTCATTTTTAAAACAAAAATAAATAGGTTGTGAGGAGCACAAGAACCCAGAACCGTACGGATCTCCCCTTCGAATGTAAAATTTTCCAGACTTGAAAATATTAGTATAATGAGCTTATCTCATCTTTAATGTACACCAGCTGCTGCCAGCTGAAACAAGGACGCTCATTTTTCTCCCCCTTAGCTACAGAACAGGAATATTGAAAATTTGCTTAATGCGGTTTAAATTTCTCCAGCAGGTAGCTCAGGGTCCTCCGAGGCTGTGCCTGTGATGGATGACAGCAATGTGCAAGGGACTCATTACAGATTCCATTTGTGGGCATCGCATGTGAGAATGTGTGGAATTAGTTCAGGAAGTCCCCCAACAACAAGCCATCTCCTTCTGGCTGACAGCGGCTCAGGTTTAATCAGTTATCGGATCGCTGTGGAAAGGCAGAGTCAAATCGAGGGAGCAAGAGGGATTCCTCCATTGACTCCTGGCTGTAGGAAAGATGTTGTGAAACTTGAAACGGTGCAGAAGAGATTCACAAGGATGTTGCCAGGGTTGGAGGGTTTGAGCTATAGGGAGAGGCTGAATAGGCTGGGGCTATTTTCCCTGGAGTGTTGGAGTCTGAGGGGTGACCTTATAGAGCAGTCCAAAACTAGAGGGCATAGGTTTAGGATGACCGGGCAAAGATATAAAATGGGCCTAAGGGGCAACTTTTTCCACACACAGGGTGGTGCGTGTATGGAATGAGCTGCCAGAGGAAGCGATAGAGGCTGGTACAATTACAACATTTAAACGGCACATGGATGGGTTAATGAATAGAAAGAGTTTTGAGGCATATGGGCCTAATGCTGACTCGATTAATGTAGCATTGACAAGTTGGACCAAAGGGTCTGTTTCTGTGCTGTACAACTGTATGACTCCTATCTATACAGTCAGAGCAAGGGGGTACATAAGTCAAAGCAGAGAAATTGGGGCACTGTTCCAGACCCACAGCAACGTGGTTGACTCTGAACTGCCCCCTGGGCAATTAGGGATGGGCAATAAATGCTGCTTAGCCAGCGACGCCCTCATCCCGTGAATGAATAAAGAAAAAAAATTTAGTTAGCCTCAGACTGGTACAATTTCCACAGAACGGAGAGGGGTGAGGTACTGGACCCTGACTGCTAGTTACAAAAACAGACACAAATACACCACTGCACCCTGAGTGTTAACTGGTTCCTGGGCTCACATCAATAACACCACCAATACCATCATATCTCCTTACACCACCAATGTCCCAGCTCATCGCAAACGCTGTGACCCGATGAGCCAGCATTCAACTCTACCATTCCATTCTTTCATTGGTCCAACGGAAGCCAATCCAGTCCAAGCAATTCAGCAAGAAAACTGTACTCGTTTCATTGGATCGTTGTCTGCCAATCAGGAGAGGATCTGTTATTCAACAGAGTTCCTTTTGATTGATCTGTCTCAGAGTGTGGGCACAGACACACATGAAGTGCAACTAAAAAAGGCAGAGGGTTATTCACACAAATGGCATTGAGGGCATTCGCGGACCAAGACTCAAGAATTCGGGGTTTTTATTGGAGGCATTGATTGTCCTGGGACACACAACCCCACCCAGGTATAGTCACCCTCATGTAGAAACAGAAACAGAAATAGAAATTAATGGAGAAACTCAGCAGGTCTGGCAGTATCTGTGGACAGATGAACAGAACCAACATTTCACAACCAAATGGTGGATCAGACCCGATGGGCCCAGTGGCCTACTTCTGCTCCTACATCTTATGTTCTTGAGAATTCAAATTCAGTTTAAAGCATCTGGTTTTCACACAGAAAAAAGTAAGGTTGGTATCAGCGAAATGAAGCTCGTCATAAAGAAGCTGTCTTCTTTTCGGAGTTGGGGGGGGGAGACCTTAACTAGTTTCGGCCTGTACGAGAACCCACACCAGTTTGGTTAACCTGTGCAGTTGTTGGCCAAGCCTTTCTGGAGGGTCAAACTGGCTCAATGCATTGGCCCACTGCCATCTCTTGGGTCACCAAGGACGAGGAGTGTCAGCCTTGCAAGTGAAGCCTGCACTCCAAGCTGGAATTTTATCAGAAAAACTAAAATGCAAAATTAAAGCATTAATTTAGGATATCTGGTCGTCATGGACGAGTTGGACCCAAGGGTCTGTTTCCATTCTGTACAACTCTTTAACTTTATGACTCTAAGATTAGTTGTGTGAGTTTATAGGAACCTTTCTCTCTGAATTTACTGCCACAAATCCTTGTTCCCAGGCTCAATTTCTCTGACTCTTGCTTTGAGATTGCCGTTAAGGTGTATTTCCTTCAAAGAAACAAAACCACATTCAGGAGATGAGAAGTGGAGTGGGTTGGGGTGGATGCTAAGCAAACTAATAAAAAGGACAGCATATTAAATTCCTTCCAACAGAGCTGGACAAGGAACCAAAGAATTGTGGGCAGGGTTTTATCAAGCTCACAGGAGCCTGATATTGAAAAGTGCCTGATTGAGATGGGGACAATGAAAAAATCATCGCAGAAACCCGTCCACTGAAGGAAGGCAGAGGGACCAAGGAACTGGGAGGTGTAAGTCATCCGTCCTGAACCTCAGTCGATTCCTGCACTGACAGGGCTGAGCTGCGGCTGCAGAAGCTGCCTCAAGGTAGAGAGAGTCGCTGAACAACTGAAATTACATCTGGACACAGTTGGCCATCATTGAGGAAGGCGATCCTTGGCGAGGGAGGGGGCGCTGTGTGTGTGTGTGTGTGTGTGTGTGTGTGTGTGTGTGTGTGTGTTTGAAGGGGTTATTAAATTGGGCCTCACTAACCCCTGGCCTACCACTAAGGCCTCCGGTCAATTCCCAAGCTTCACCCTCAAATGAGGAGCCCCTCTGCCAGCTGGAGATCCTGGAATCATCACCAATGTCTCCCTAGACAGTGCTTCATGGCCCCAGTGAAGATTCTCCAACTTTACTCCATGTCCCACTGTTAAACTTGCCTTGACGGGGCTGGGAAAACTATGGGTCTAATCCCACCTGGGCCGATTGTGAAAGTGAATTCAATAAATCTGGCCATTTGTGGATGGGGTCCGACAGGAAAGAACGGTCACAACAGATGACGGATTGCAGCAATTACCTGATCCATTCACTCAATGTCCTTCTCAGATGGGAAGATGGCACTTCCACCCAAACTGGACTACACGTGACTCCAGTCCCATAATCTGTGGTTAAGATCACACAGGACAATGAAGAATGGGCAATAAATCCTGCCTTGTTCGCATCATCCACATCCCCAGAATCAACAAATAAACAAATGGTGCTCCTGGAAATGGGAGGGAGCATTGAGCCTCAGTGAAAGGGTCTGACAGTGTGACTGAACACACACACATGAAACTAGCCTGAATATGGGGAAGCTACATATGAGAACCTGTATGTTAAAACTCTCATGTGAAAGCTTGCGTGTGAGAGTCTGTGTGTGAAAGCTTGCGTGTGAGAGTCTGTGTGTGAAAGCTCGCATGTGACAGTCCACATGTGAAAACTTGAGAGAGTCCACATGAGAGCTCACATGCGTGAGAGCTCGCGTGTGCGAGCCCCTGCGTGAGAGCTCGCGTGTGCGAGCCCCTGCGTGAG